GAGAGAGATACTCACCTGTAGTTGGTTTCAAAGTAATACTTACTATCTCAGTAGAAAAATAAAATATGGTACTTTAGTAAGTACACAATTTCGATTAGATTTGAAATTTTTGTTGCCTACTAAATAAAGGTATCTGATTCGTTTTGTTGTATAGTAGTTTCGTTCAACAAAAAGTAAAGTAATTATTAAACATGAAATTAAATTGGTTCTGCTTTTTATTATATTAAAAATGCAATTTATATTGCAAGTATTCATAATATTTATGTGAGCCACTGTACTATACCTATATGTACATATGCATATGAACATACTATTAAATTAAATTTTTAATTTGTACTTTTTATCATTGAAGTATTTCAATATAAATTTCATTTAAAAATCACTTTTCCATAGATATTTTGTCTTCGAGTAGGTAAATTTATTTTGGCAATTTGTTCATTTGGCACGAATACAATAATCATATTTATTATATTTTTATATTAATATATACTAAAATAGTTAGATTTCTTTTTAATAAGTAGTCATTAGGTAAATTATTTACAATTGACGAGATCATTTTAAGTTTTACTGTCATGAAGAAATATTCCAGCCAAGCCGGTTTATGTTTTACAATTGATTTAAAACGATTTGTTTGATTTCTAGAGTTGTTACAGCTGTTAAACTATGTGGATTGCTAGTTAAGAAATGTCAAAATCTTTGAAAATGTGAGTATTCTCCTCGAATATTCGGACTTTATTATAATGTTAACAAATAAGAACAAGTTTTAAAACTTGGGGTTAACGAGTAATATTTATGTACATATTTACAAGCTTTTATTTTGCATTAGTTCTTAATATCTACTTTTGTTTTTTTATTTACGTTTTACTTGGTGTTGGATTAGCGTGCTTGTCTTCGTTTTTGAGTTAAATTATAAAATCCTCCAACAATGAGTGCAAAAAATAATGCAAGCAAATAATGTGCCATATTTCAAAGCATATTGGATGGCTTCATCGAAGGTGCTTATATAGAGATTATCTATTATCTCATCGGTAAAGTCCCTGATGTTATTTCTATCCATATAAGAGGTAATATGGTGCCTTCTCAATTCGATCCAATTTATCTGAAAGAGATATGTTGCATGAATTATTTTTAGAATATTTTACAAATGAATTGGTACATTAAGACATTTTTCATACACTATACCCTACATGCATCTAACTCTAGATTGTATTCAAATCTTGCTTATCTAATTGTTGTTTGTATAGATAGTGTATGTATGTGCATTTACGAACAAGAGTAAGACAAACTTTAATAAGCGTAAAGCACGATGGTACACTATCTTTCAAATTAATCACTTACATATATGTGAATTAACATCTTTTCTACGTATGTAGCTTTAGTTTAGTTGGGGTTGTTGGTGCTTTCATACATAAGTATAGAAACACAGAAACGTATAGTTTTTCTAGATTCAAAAGGTAAAAGGTAAAAGGTATTATTATGTGTTCCATATATTCTAGATTTGTTTTATTATTATTCCTGTTATCTATTAAATGTAGGGCTACAAAGCTTTTGTAGCCGCGCAAAATATGACATAAGCGAAATATTTAAGCGAAGTTGTAACAGCGATAAAATTACAAAGGCCGAGTAATGATGCTATGTGTGGTCAGTTATTAGACTTTATTCGCAAAAATTTTCTCCTTAAATATATTCTAGGCAAATATTGCAATACGTTCAATACATAATTTTCCGCTAAGTACATAGTTTCGTTTTCTATTGTGCATATATACTAAGTATATAAGTTATATAACAGTTCATAAAGGAGAAGTACATACTTTACTCATTGTCTTCGGTATATAATGTAGTTATTAACAAAGAGAAATATAAACAAGTACAAGGCAGGGCTAAGTTCGGATGTAACCGAACATTTTATACTCAGCAAGTCAAATGGTATACTCGTTTGAGATTTCTTTGTGGATGACTGATATTTTCGGTAGAAGGTCAAACTATAGGCACTGAGTCCACATATTTAGTATTAGGCGGTTGAACAGTTTTGGTTCGATTAAGACAATTTTTGGCCGCAAGGTGGCATACTTAATTGCATTATTCACGCAAAGTTTTACACCCGATATAATCATTGTTACCTGATTTGCATAGTGGAAAGGTAAAGAATCAGATGGAATTGAAAATGGTGTTACATGGAAGTAGCGTGGTTGTAGTCCGATTTCCCATTTTTCGCACTAATGACATAGAACATGAGAAAGAACGTTATGCACCGGTTGAAATCGGTTGAAGCAGATATCAAGATATGGGTTTTCACCTAAAAGTGGGCTGTAACACGCCCACTGTCTAATTTTGAACGCGGTTCCTATAAAGTCATTTATACCCTCTCAGAGTAATGTTTAATGTCTCTGGCGTGTTTAGTGCTTGATTTATCGCGCTTTTAGTAGTTTTTTAACAGTACCTTTATATGGGGAGTGGGCGGAGTTGCCACCGATTTCAACTTATTTTACACCGTCAATAGAAATACTAAAACCATTTGCTTTTTAGTAATTTTGTTATTATAGATTAGCGGTTGAGGAGATATGCACTTAAACCTATTAGAGGCGGACCACGCCACTTTTCAAAAAGAGTTTAGCTGCAGATGCCCTCCCTAATGATCCTGTGTACCAAATAACAGTCTTAATCTTTGTGCGAGCTTAGTATGGCAAGTTATTTGTTTTGATTAATGGGTTTCGTGGCGTGGCAGTGGTCCGATTACGCCCATCTGCAATACCAACCGTCCTCACGGTACCAAGAAACATGTCTACCAAGTTTCATAAAGATATCTCCAATTTTTACTCAAGTTAGAGCTTGCACGGACGGACGGAGGACGGACAGTCACCCGGATTTCAACTCGTCTCTTCATCCTGATTATTTATATATATAACCTATATCTAACTCTGATTAGTTTTAGGTGATACACAAACGCCGTTAGGTGAAACAACTATTATACTCTGTACAACAGGTTGCGAGATATAAAAAATGGAGCAGCATTGCAAGAGGCTGTACATATTAAGCTTGTACATGCCTAATGGGACTAGCTAATATGCACAACAAATATTCATATATGCTGGACGAAAACATAGCGGTAGCATAAGTGTACAAGCAAGAGCAAGAAGCAAATAAAATATGTAGTATGTACAATGCAAATACAATTACATTACACAATACATTCGAATGTCACCAAACGCACTTTAGAGTCCTTCTTGAATACAGTTTATAACTCTTCCAATATGCCATTTTTGAGGTGGTAAGTTGTCTTCATGGATGATAACCATTGAATTGTTGTTGATGTTTAGTCGCTCCGAAACCACTTTGATCGTCTTGAGAAGGTCGTTGATGTATTCTTTTGACCATCAGTTCCAAAACATCTGTTTAATGCTGTGACCTGATTCCATCGTTGTACGTTGCTGATGTTAGTCTGACAATCTCCGTTCTGGTGCCCTAAGTGAACTGCCAATAATAAAATGCCCCGGAGTTAATACTTCAAAATCATTTGGATCCGATGACATTGGTGTTATTGGACGAGAATTAATACAGCTTCTATCTCAACCAGAACTGATGTTAGTTCTCAGCTATGAGTCTTGCATTTTCGATGGTGCGGTTGAGGGACCTTAGGGCGATTTGACTGCTGCCTCCCAAATACGCGCCGAAATGAGGTGCTCTTGGAGGAATAAATGAAATTTATAAATTCATTAGCACAATATTTATAATTGCATCTTTGTTTTCGTTTTAAATAAAATGACTTTAATTCAGCTAGTTTGTTGCAAACACCCACAAAATTTGTTGCGTTATCGCAAAGATGTCAGAGGGTAGACCTCTTCTTCCAATCATGCGCTTCAATGACGCTAAGATGCGTCCGTGGATAGATCGATACTAGTTCGATGTGAACCGCCTTTGTCGCTAGACAAACGAAGATCCCAATGTACGCTTTATAAGGTGTTTTGCCTCACATAAGCAAATATCGTTGACTGGTCCCGAGAAATCAATACCGCAGCGCAAACGACGAGATGGAGTTAATCGCTCCACAGGTAACTGTCTCATTACTTGGTTCATCAGCTTTGGTCTTATAGCGTATACAATGTGTGCCGATCGTCTTGCTAAAATCGCGCGCATTGATTATCCAAATCTGAAGTCCTGATCAGCTACGAGTGTCTTTGGTTCTGCATGTCAGTGTTCGATGTAGATGACGAACGTAATGCACAACAAATTCGCATTTGTTTGGCAACAGCATTGGGTGTTTCCTTTCTTCGGAATATCTGCTGATTCAATCGACCTCCAACTTTGAGCATTTGAAATCTTCATATACTCGAGAAAAGGATTTAAATAACGTAATGGGGCAATTTATCGTAGGCCTTTCTGTAAAAGATGAATTTCTTAGCGAAATGTATGTGTTGAATATTCAAAATTATGCTAAGAAAGCGTGATGAACTCTTGTGTTTGAAAGTTGTTAATGAGTCATTAAGACTGCACCATGTCGAATTTATTGATGAAGCGAGCAATCTAAGCTATTAATCGAGCTGCTGAATAGCTACTCCGCTGATTCACATTTCAAAATGTACAATAATGGTGTAACTAACATTGTATTGAATGCTGATTTTCGTTTCTCCCTATTGACAACTTCCATGTCGATATCGTCGCAGTGTTCTTTGCCCATTTATCTGAGTTTTTGTATAGAAACTTTGGTCCGGTGTACCATATTGAATTAACAAGTTCCTTTAAGTACATCCTCTGAGGCAGCATCGGCGCCGGGTTACAATGCGTAGAACATGCCTCCAATGGGCTCCTTTGTTAAATCTGGAATTTCCGAATTTGATTACCAACAAAGTCGAAGTGTTTGCAAAATGCACCTTAAGCCAATGTACTATTTGTGAGTCTGTCCAAAGAAAATGTTAAAGATTTGTAAGAAATTGTTGGTTTAATTTTAGCTAAAAGACAAACAGAAAAAGAGCGCCGCAAAGTTCTAAATTGGTAAGGATTGTTTTGGTAGGTGCCACTCTGGACTTCGCAGTGAGTAGGCGAATGGTAGTAGTAGTGCCACATTTGCTGATAACTCGAGTATAGGTATATTGCGCATCCATATGCACGAATCGATGCGTCACAAAATCCATGTATTTGAAAAGATTCCACATCTGTCGAAAAACAGTGCCTCGGCACTTTAATTAGCGAAAGATCCGATAAGCAGTTAAGAAACTTTTTCCAAGCAAATTCAATTTCTGTGGCACAGATTCATCCCAATCCAACTTTAGTAGCCCTATTTCTTGCAACAAAACTTTAGATGTTATAATAACAGGAACTAAAAGTCCAAGTGGGTCGTAAAGTGATGATGCAACAGAAAGGATGGAACGTTTTGTAAGTCGGCCAGTCAGTGCTAGTTTTGCTTCAAATGAAAAAATAAAACAATCAAGATTTTGGTTCCATTTTAGTCCAAGTGTACTAGTGATGAATGTATCTACGTTTAGATCCTTTATAGAGTCGTCTTCTCTGAATTGATGATAATTGGAATGTCACTTTGTTACTTTGAACTGTCCTAATTCTAACAGTTGTATTACCTCTTGCTTTATCTGTGCAAGTTCGGTTAGAGTATCACCACCACAGAGTAGGTCGTCTACGTAGAATGATGACTTCACGATTTTTGCGCCAATTGTAAATTGTTCTGAATGCTGTTCAGCTAGATATAACAAACTCTGTATAGCAAGATATGGCGCAGCAGCCATTCCATACGTTACATTATTTAGTTGATACATGCGAATATCTTCAGTTGGTGAACTCCTCCACAGAATATACTGAAACTTTCGATCATCTTCGTGCATTAATACTTGGCGATACATCTTGACTATGTCGGCAGTGAGTGCAAACCTGTGGAATCGAAAACGATGAGAAGAAGAAAAAGTTCGCATTGAATTGTAGGGCCAACCATCTGAATATCGTTTAATGATTTTTGGGATGTGGTTCGACAGGAAGGAGGTATATAATAATGCGGTTCGCTGAGATTTGAATTTTTTACAACGCTCATATGACCCAAACTCTCGTAGTCGCTCATAAATTCAACGTATTGTGCTTTCAATTGGGGTGATTTGG